TAAAAAGCTTGAGCAAGGCTTTATAGTAAATTTAAATGGAATAAACTATTGGATAATGGGAGAACTGGGTGTTTTTATAGGTGATTTGCCTCAAGGGAATGATATAGCTGGAATACTACGACATAATACATATAAAGGTTGTCGTGCATGTAAAGCACCTAAAGATCAATTAACTGATCTTTCATTTGATATATATCATCATGCCTGATATCATCAAATTACAGATCAAGAATTTCAGTTTATAAATCAACAACCATCTAATAATGCAAAATCTCAGCTTCATTCTCAATATGGCTTGCGACCTTTGCCTAGACCATTAGATCCTTTACTGCATGATTGTTATTTACATACACCTCACGATGCATATCATACAGTTGCTGAAAAGATAGCTCGATTACTAAATTGTACTTGTACAATTTTAACATTATCTGGTGAAAATGATTTAATAAACTGTTGGAAGAGTATTGAAATTTCAATACAATGGTCTCATTTGCCAAACCCAATTACTCATAGATATTCATTTATTATGTCAGATAATTTAAGAATTCTTATGATTTTTCCATTTATATTAAAACGCTGTTTAACTGTTAATAGTATTAAAAATGATTATTTAAAATCAACATATGATAGATTACATTTTTCTGACTATTCAGAAGTAAGAAATTATATTATTTATACTTGGGCACTTTCTGCAAAAGTAGCTAAAGAAGTATTTTCTTTAACTATACAACGATCAACTGGATATTTCAAATTGCAAGCTATATTAAATAATGAGCTCAATGCTTTAATTAAGGTATATATTAATTTAATCTAATATTTGTTATAAAGTTTGTTTTAAAATTCAAACTTTATTTTATTGTAAGCTTTTTCTCGATAGTTTTCAAAATCTTCCTAATCTATATATAAATCATCATTTAGTAAATTATGCATACCAATATGCAACTTGTATAAATACAGCTGTTGGTATAAAAGAAATAGTACATTGAATTTTCAAGACAATTGTTCCACATACCAACAAGCATAATTTTGAACTTACTCTATTATGACAAGTTAATACTTTACAAACTTTATGATTTTTTGCTGATAATAGAATATTGAAACAAATAATCTTTTAAAAGATCTTATGAATATATATTCACTATATTATTCATTAGAACAAGCTCTACTAGAAACGCGAGTTTCTTTTTATGAAAGTATATCATATACAATATGCCAATCTAATGGTAACTACTATAATATAAAATTAAAAATTGAAGCAATTGTTGAAGTTAGATTATTTGGTGAAAATCAATTAAAATTTGGTAAAATAATTGGTATAATTGAGCATTTATGGAATAATAGTCAAATGTTTGTCTTTCTTTGTTTTAATTGGTTAGAAAATTTAAACAACCTAGACTCTTTATTAGACTGTCCAATTTATCGTATCCAGCATAATTCTTTCAATCAAGTTCATCCAATTTCTGTAGTATTACCATTATCGAATATTCATTTTCTTTATAATTGTAAATCAAGTTGTTCTTTTCAACAACATGATACTACAAATTATGAGTATATTCGAAATGATTTTTTATTTACTACAATTTAAAAATATATTTGCGTAAATATGTATGCTTATTATAATTTTATTATTGTTTTATTGCTATATAATACTAAGTATTCTAGTTCTTGTTATTTAAATAGCTATTATTTTTGGTTATCTTATCCTATTTTTAATTTACTATATAGTATAAGAAAAAATATGTATTAATTAAATTTTCAAATGTAAGCCAATTAACAAGAACAGCAAATTGAAATTCTTTTTTTTTAAGAAAGATTGCCGCATCGAAAAAAACGAGACATCGATGAAAATAGGATAGAGGTCTTTTTTTTTTTTTTTTTTTTTTTTTTCTAAGCTAGTTTAATTTCTTTTTTTGAGATTTTACTTTTTATTTTTTTGTAATTTTGGCCAAAATTAG